TTTTAGATTAAGAAAAAAAAACATTTAGAATTATTGACACATAGAAATCGAAATAAATTGTATTGATAAAAAGTAAATTATATTACAATACTTTTTAATTAAGCTTTGATGAAGAAATTGTTTTTTTTGTAAATGATTACATGTAGTTATCTGTTTTGGAAAATAACAATTATACTATTAAATAAATTGAAAATCTAAAAATTGAAGGATTCTCTAGATCATATATGAAAGCAGTTGGAAGAGATTCAGTTGTGTTTGTAAATAATAAAAACCAAATAATGTTATTTTCAATACCATCTACTAAAACTCTAATTGGAACAACTTAGAAAGACATCAACTGTATGATATATTTGCCTTAATAAGAATGGCTGGCAATAAGCACAGAAGATAATAATATTATGTTTTGGGATGTAAAAGCAAAAAAGATTGTTGGAACACTAAAAGGACATTAAAAAAAAATAAATGCAATTTCAGTTTCATAAGATGGTAGTGTTCTTGCTTCAGCAAGTGATGATAAACTAATAAAACTCTGGAACATAAAATAAAATGAATCATTTGAAACAAAAACAGCTCATTAATATTCCATAAATGCATTAGCTATATCTTAAGACGGCTTTTTATTAGCTTCTGGAAGTGTAAAAGGTGAAGAAGCTGAAGTTCCTATAATAATGTGGGATCTTAAAGAGAAAAAACTAATGACTTAATTGAAAAGACATAAAGATTCTATAAACTGTTTATAATTCTCTTATTGTTCTAAATATTTAATTTCTGGATGTAATGATGGAACAATAATATTTTGGAATATTGAATATCCATAGGCTACAAAAGTTTAATATATAATAGATGAATTGAACTTTCCTATAAATTCCCTTAGTTTTTCCCCAAATGAACAAATGCTTGTCTCTTTCTGCAAATTTGATAATATTCAAAAATGGAATTTCAAATAAATTGGGCAATATGAAAAAGATAAGCCAATAACATTAAATATTAATTCAAATACTTATAGTTTTTTTCAATAAAATGAATTTATTTATGTTTAAAAAAGTTAAGAACAATTAACAATATTAAATGTAGAATCCTAAAAATAATAAATTTTAGAATAGAATTCAAAAGTTATCTAAATTATACCCTCAAATGATTAAAATTTAATTTTGTGTTTGGAAGGATTAGGATAATTATATTCTTGGTCAAGAGACAAAGATAATAATTGGATAAAAAAATGGATTTATTTATCATAGTCTAAATTTATTTTACTATCTCCAGATAATTAATTTATATTTTAAGCTAAAGATTGTACATCTCAGGAACAACCTTTATTTTCAGATACAATTTCAAACAAATTTAGAACCTTGCTTCATAATTACTAAAAAATCTAATTTGTTGAAGAGATAATAAACTATAAATTTGATAAAAATGAATAGCTATAATGTGCATTTTCATTTGATTTAACTTAGACTGCAATATTCAAAAAATAAGAAGTTAAAATATTGGACACAAAAAATTGGTTGTGTATAAAAGAATTAAAATAGTCTTAAAATTCTAAATAACCATTAATATCTAGAGATAAAAAATATTTAGCTTGTTATTAGGATATTTAATAATTAGGCAAAGATAAATATGATAATATAATTACTTTATGGGAAATAAACAATCCAGCAAATTAAAAATAACTAGAAGTTAAAGAAGAAAAATTAAGAATATACTAATTTTCTGCTCAAGATTCTAATATAATATATGCTTTATATACTGATGGAAAAGTAAGAGAATGGAATGTAACAACACAATAAAATCAAATTATAGTGACCATCTCTGAATCAATAAAGATTGATTTAGTGCAATTTTCTAAAAACCTTACATTATTACTTTATTAGAGTGAAATAAATTCAAAATTAATGATATATAATTTTAAAACCAAAGAAAAATCCTCTTTGACTATTGGTGAAGAATTTTATTTTATTGCTTGCTCTCAAAATGAAGATTTATTTGCTGTCGCTATTAGGTAAGGAGTAAAAATTCTTGATGGTAAATAAGAATCTATAATATAAGTTTTTGATGATATGAATTTATTTAATGTTTCATTCATAAGTTTTTCGCATGATGATTAATAATTGCTATTTTGTCATGATAGCACTATATATCTTTATGAATTAGCAGAAACATTTAAAAATAGAATTATTGGATGTTGGAATGTACAATCTTAAATTTTTTACTGTGTCTTTAATTCTTTCGAATAAGAAATTGGTTTACAACTCAGTACTTAAATATTAGTCTTAAAATTATGTCCATCTATTCTCAAATCTGAATTATTGAGTATAGAAAATTAAAAATGTAGTTGTTTTTCACCTGATAGTAAATATATGGTTAATTTGACTCCATCTTTATAAATTTTGGAATTATAAAATCTCTAAATGATTCATAACTTTGAAGATTATACTGGAGAATAGATATAATTCTAGACATCAGAAATCTTAGTTATAGCAAATAGGAATAAATTATAATTTATCAATATCAATAAAATATAGAAAATAGTAAAAATTAAAGAAATTAGATTCTATAATAAAATAATAGATATGGCTCTCACATTAAATTATTTATTAATTTAATTTAAAAATGATTTCAATTAAACAAAAGTTATATTTAATAGCATTGATAAATTTGAAGAAAATTTATTTAAAGCTATTTATAATTCAAAAGGAAAACCAATTTTTTCAGGAAATGGAAATTATTTTGCTTTAAGTAATTAAACTAATATTCAAATAATCAATATTAAAAATATCAAATAAGAAAAATGCGTATAGCTAAATAGATAAATTAATTAAGGTAGGATATTTTATTCATTTGATGGTAACTTGATATTTTTTTGTTTTGATTAGAGCATTTCAATTTTTGATTCTATTAGTTTTAAAAAAGTTAAAGAAATTAAAATAGATTTTCAAGCCAATCAATTTGAATTTTCGTAAAATCAGAAATATTTGGCTTCAATGTGTTCTACAGCTGTTTAAATTTTTTCTTTTTACAACTAGAAAGATCTTTTTGAATTTTGGACTATTAAAGGGGATAAAAATTTAATAAACTCTATTGCTTTATCTCCAAAAGGAGATCTTCTTTTAACAGGTGGTTAAAATTAATTAGATTTTATTAATTCTATTGCATTATGGAAAGTAGAATAACGTGAATAAATTTGTTTAAATAATTAAATAAATGATGAAGTCAAAGTTCTTAAATTTTGTCCAGATGGCGTTAATTTTGTTGCAGGTCTTTCAGATGGATCTGTTAATTTATATTCTATTCATGTTTAATAAACTAATTTCTATAAGAAATAATGTTTTGGATAATTCAAATTAAATGAAGAGTAATCTAAATATTAAATATTTTGTTTTAAATCATTTGCTAAATAATCATTATTGACTGCTCAATAGTGCCTTTTAACGAAATCATGCATAAAGTCAGAACAAAAATCTATTATTGAATTATTTCTTTAAAAAGGAGCTTAATAATGATATATATGTTTGAAAAATATTAATTATTATTTTAATTTCATCATTTAATATAAAAATAAATTATATTATAATTATATTGAATAGATTAATTAATGAATTTAAAATATATTAAATTTTTTAACAATTACTAATTAGTTTATAAATAATGATCATTAATGCTACTTAATTAATGCATTCTTTGAAGGAGTATTTTAGTTTTGGATAATCCTGTAATTTGAATTAAATCTTCTAATAATACTTACTTTTCTTATTTTAAATAAAAATAGGCAAATAAATTAATAAAATATATATAATATAATTTAAATATGAAACCCTTTTATTAAAATTTAAATAATAAATATACGTTCAAAAGAATCATGAATTAAAGATTTAATTCTCATTCAGGTATTTGCTAATACTGTTAAAATAATGGTGTTACTTCTAATGTTAGGATTTTTGAACCTTAAAAGAAAAAAATTAATTAATTAACTGAAGTCTGTGATAAGCAATCAAATTCATAATTTTTACTTCATTTAAGAGGTGGAGGATGCGGATAAGCTAAACCAAAATAACAAATTGAAGAAAAGCCAATTACTGGTTTGCCTAATGATTTTTTGATTAAGTTAGAAAAATATGTTAATATTATTAATACTAAAGCTTAACTTATAACGGATACTTCACAAAGAAATGAAGTAATAATAGCATTGTAATGGTTTATGCATAATAGAGAGCATTTCAACACTTGTTGTGTAAACAATAATTTAACATTATCAATATATACAAAAATATTGAATTCATTTAAGGATTTGCTAAAAATTCTTCCTGTTTATTTAAGAGCTTCATGGTTTTTATGCTATTAAATTTTATAAATATGTAATGAATTTTTGAGAATTGTATATTCTTACTAAATTCAAAATGAAAATGGATAATTGGATTTAGCAATGCAATAATAATTTTTAGAAGATTTAGAAGAATTTAAGGAATAATTTGAAATTGAATAAACAAATGTGTGGAATACAGGTATAGAATATGAAATAACTCTTATTAAAATTATGTTAATGAATTGTAAACAAACTCACAAGAAGGATAAAATTTGTTAATAGATATTGTAAAAAATTTGGTATAATCAGCTTTATAATTATCACCAACTGAAGACCTNTAAAAAGGAGCTTAATAATGATATAAATTTTTGAAAAATATTAATTATTATTATAATTTCATTATTTAATATAAAAATAAATTATATCATAATATATTGAATATATTAATTAGAGAATTTAAAATATATTAAATTTTTTTAACAATTGCTAATTAGTTTATAAATAATGATCATTAATGCTACATAATTAATGCATTCTATGAAGGAATATTTTAGTTTTGGATAACCCTGTAATTTGAATTAAATCTTCTAATAATACATACTATTCCTATTTAAATAAAAAGTAGGGAAATAAATTAATAAAATATATTTTATATAATTTAAAAATGAAACTCTTATATTAAAATTTAAATAATAAATATATGTTCAAAAGAATCATGAATTAAAGATTTAATTCTCACTCAGATATTTGCTAATACTGTTAAAATAATGGTGTTACTTCTAATGTTAGTATTTTTGAACCTTAAAAGAAAAAAATTAATTAATTAACTGAAGTCTGTAATAAGCAATCAAATTCATAATTTTTACTTCATTTAAGAGGTGGAGGATGCGGATAAGCTAAACCAAAATAACAAATTGAAGAAAAGCCAATTACTGGTTTGCCTAATGATTTTTTGATTAAGTTAGAAAAATATGTTAATATTATTAATACTAAAGCTTAACTTATAACGGATACTTCACAAAGAAATGAAGTAATAATAGCATTGTAATGGTTTATGCATAATAGAGAGCATTTCAACACTTGTTGTGTAAACAATAATTTAACATTATCAATATATACAAAAATATTGAATTCATTTAAGGATTTGCTAAAAATTCTTCCTGTTTATTTAAGAGCTTCATGGTTTTTATGCTATTAAATTTTATAAATATGTAATGAATTTTTGAGAATTGTATATTCTTACTAAATTCAAAATGAAAATGGATAATTGGATTTAGCAATGCAATAATAATTCTTAGAGGATTTAGAAGAATTTAAGGAATAATTTGAAATTGAATAAACAAATGTGTGGAATACAGGTATAGAATATGAAATAACTCTTATTAAAATTATGTTAATGAATTGTAAGACAAACTCACAAGAAGGATAAAATTTGTTAATAGATATTGTAAAAAATTTGGTATAATCAGCTTTATAATTATCACCAACTGAAGACCTAATCCCAAGTCTTATTGAAGGAGCTAAATTTTTATTTTTATAATACAAAGATAAAGTATTATATCCTGAAGATGTATATGCTACATATTATCTATTCTAAACTCTTAAATGGTCTATTGTGGCTCAATTAAAATAATAGAATTCAATAAATAATTAAGTTAAAAAACTAAAAGATGCATTTTTATAATATATTTTAAATTCAGATAATTGGATTATTCATTATAGTTGGATATCAATGATTGTTGATTTAATAGCATATAGACCAATTATTGATAAATTTTAAATTCTTAATGGTACTCCAATATAACAATAATCACTTTGGAACAATTTAATTGAAAATAACGTAATTTTTAGTCTTACATATAATAGAAATTAAGCATCTATTATATTATTTCAAAATCAAGGAAAATATTTTAGTAAAGAAATATAGAGTATTATTAAATAATAAGGTATTCCTAAATTTAAGTTACTATCAGAATCTCTTTTAAAAGGCTAGTTTACTCAATAAAGTAATATTTGGGATTTCTATAAAAATTTTTCATTTAAGAAAAAGCAATAAACAATTATAAGGGATTATGAAATTATTTTAGAAAATAATGATTTATTATTATTAGAGTAATAAATTGAAAAATTTAATGCTTAATTAGATGAATTAGTTTTATTGTATTAATAAATCTAAGAATCATTTACTGATTATTTTACTTAATCCAATATTACATAATTCGAAATTAAATTATTTTAAGATGATTACTCTGTTTTTGCAAAATAATTTTTAGATGCTTATAAATAGGCATTATATCGTCTCAATTTTATTATAGAAAAATCTACTATAGAATATGAAAAATTAAAATTACTTTGTCCTTACTTTCAAAATAATGAAAAAAATGAAAAATTAAAAACCAGTTTTTACAATATATAGAATTTGATTAATGTTAAATTTTTAGCATTATAAAAAGATTTTATTTCAAAATTTTTAAAAGTTATAGAATATTTAAGTCATCTCTCTGAAATTAATTTAAATTCAAAATCTAAAAATTTAACTGATTTAGAGAATGTAAATAACAAATTTTAAATATCAAATCTGTAGAGCTCGTATAAAAGTTTAGAATAATCATCAATATAATAATAGATTGATTATTCAATACTTTAATAGTTCATAATAAATATTAAGGAATTTTAAAAAATGTTTTCTTTCTCAATGTCAAATATTACAACTAATGATAATATTATTAATATTAAATCTGATACAATATAAGCTATGTCAAATACTATTTGCTCAGGGAAATGGATCAAAATAATAACGTAATAACTTAGTAATTGTTTTTCAGATAGATTTATTTTATGCCAAAATGATGTTAAAACTATATAAGATATTCAAAACATCTACATAAATTGCAGTTTTAGCTTGTAAATGTTGAAATTATTGAAATAATTCTATTAAATTCATTAATATAAAATTAATACTTTTGACAAAACAATTAATGAGGAAAAGCTCTTAGCCAATCAAGAATAAGAAAAGTTTTATCAAAATTTAAAATTAATTATAATCAAGTAGTTAACATAATAAAAAGATAAAATCAGATTAATTCTATAATAAAAAGATATTGATAATGGTAGTAGTTTAAATAAAGAAAAAACAAAATAACTTCTTTAATAAATCAAGTCAGATCAGACAGTAATGCAAAATTAATATGACAATTTTGTAAGCAAAGAAATTTAAGCAATAAAATCTTAAGTCTTAATATTTATGCAAGAAGCTAGTTTATTTATTACTTTATAAAATTAAAATGAACATTATGACCTTGATGCTTTTAAAAGTTAGATGGAAAAATATGATAGTTTGATAACTTAAATTAAAGATAAGTAAGGAGAATTTTATAATACTCAACCTTAAGAGGATAAGAGAACGTTTAAAAATTGGATAAGAGAAAATAAATATTTAAATTTCTGTCATTTTTGTGTAAATTAAGGCATAAAAGAAGTAAAATATACAAATAAATTTTTTAAAATATTAGAATAGATGTTAGTCTTAAATATAAATTAAATTTAATAGATTGAAAATCAAGAAATTTAAGAACGTATAGATAACTTCAATACATAAAGATAATAAATAGAAAGCAAATTCAAAATTTAAAACTAAATTATTAAATTAATCGAAATTTTTAAAGAAAGTATTTAGCATGATGATTGCAAATGTATCATATAGATTGAATAAGAAAATGATTTATAAAATGAATAATAAATTGAATAAATAGATTCAACTTTACAAGAAACCTTAGATTTCTTTATATTAAAATAAAATAGTTTAGAAACAATATCTTAAAATTTAGACCCAATATACTTAAATGTAATGAATAATCTAAGCGAACAAGTAGTAATTAAAAAATCAATATTTGATGTATTTGATTTTAACAATGATTATAAGATTAGAGAATGCTTAGTTTATAATTTAATAAAGCTTTAGTAAGGAATAAAAGAAGAATAAATAGTAGAATTTTCATCAAAACTTATTTAATATCTTTGGGTTTTTGAAAAAGATTAAAGAGTAAGAAATCTATTAAAAAATAAGGAATTAATTGAAATGTAGAAACTTTTTTTTTCTTAAGATATCAAAACTATGTCTGAATCAATTAAATAAGAGATGAGATTTAGAATTAAAAGTATAGAAAATATTTCATAAGAATTACGACTTGAGGGTAATGCTTCAATTAAAGAGTAACTTAAATAATAACTTATATTAGCTTATGAAGAACTTGAATAATATAATGATAATATTACTGAAATGTCTGAAAAAATGGATATAAGTTTAATATTTTTAAAAGATATATCAAAAGATGTAAAATAAATAAAAAATTAAATTGATAATTTATAAGAAAGTTTAAATTAAGTAGGTGATGATATTCGTAAATTAAGAGGAAAAAGATATGATGAATTATTAGAAATTAGAAAATAAAAAATATTATTATAATCTAAATTAGCAGAAGTAGATTCTGTTTATGTTTAATTAAAAACTATAGAATTTAATCCTGTTACTGGTTAAAGTATAGCATCAAAAGATGGTTCATACATATCTAAATTAATGAGTGATTAATTGGATGATTTTACAGGTGAAGTTAATGAATTTATATGGGATGAATCAAAATAAAATGATGTAATGTTACTTTCAGGAAATGCTGGTTCTGGTAAAAGTAAAGCAGCAAGAAAAATTGAAGAATTTCTTTGGAAATAAAAAGGAATTCAATCTAAATGGATTCCTATCTTTGTATCATTACCAACTTTAAAAAATCCTAAATATAATTTATTTGAATAAGCTTTAGAATCTGAAAATTATTAATTTGATAAATATTAACTTAGAGAATTTAAAGAAGCTATTTAAAATAAAAAAGAATCTATTATATTAATATTAGATAGTTATGACGAAATGAAATAAGATTGTATTTAATAAAATCTTATTATTACAAATAAACTAATTAATGATTTAAATATTGATGACCATTAAAAATAAGTCAAGATAATCATTACAACTAGAAGAGAAATATTGAACACTTTAGGATATTAAACTTGGTTTTATGGATATAGTATAGGAAGTTTAAAAGAAGTATAAATCTAAGATTTCGATAAAGATTAAAAAAGTGATTATTTAATTTAATATACTGAACTCAGTGTAAAGAGAAAAATAAGAGTTGTTTATGATTTCTTGAAACAGATTTCATAATTAAGTTTTAATTTAGATGAATTTTTAGCTATATGGCAATAAATTAATATACAAGTTTAACAAAGTATTAAAAATTCTCATAATACTTAATCAGAATAAATTTTTGAAAATTCTTAAAGGGAAGAATTAATCAAGAAAATTTTAGAACATTCTCCATTTAAGTAATTAAAGGTTGAATAGATTACAGGACTCAGAAAAGATTTATCATCTTTATGGAGTGTTTATAAATTTGAAAAGGCTATAGAAAATGTGGGTATTTCTGATTTATTGTCAACTCCTTTTATGTTGGAGATTATTGTCTAAGTATTACCTAGTATGGCAAAATAATAGTAAGGATCTGGAGATATTAAAAATAGATTTGTTTAAAGCTATCTTAATTTAACAAATAAATTATGCTTATCTAAAAAATTAATAGAAAATTATAAAATTAATTTAGATTAAAAAGAAACTATTTAAGTAATTCAACCAATATTTGATAGTAAAAAATCAAAAATTAAGTATGATGATTTTGTTGATAAATATGAATAAAAAACTAAAAGTGATTAAATTATGGATTTATTGGAAAGTTTAAAGTTTTTTTAAACTTATTCAATAACTAGTATTCTTAAAATTGATAACAATAATTTATTAGTTGATAATAAATCTTTTACACTTTATAATCAAGATATAGAATGTGTGGTTTAAGCTTTGAAGATGAAAAAATATACTATATTTGAGTTCTATGACAGTTTCATTCATTTTTATCATGAGTAATAAATTTAAAAATTAAGAGAAACTGGTAAAATTTCAAATTGGGAAAGTTTTTAAGTGGATATTTTATAATTTTCATAAAATTTAGCAATTGATATGACAATTAATTAATTATCTTAAATTACATATTAATAAAAAGGTAAATTGAAATTAACAAATAATTATAATAAATATTAAGATGATAATGTTTGGCTTGATGATTATTTTAATGATTCATAATAGGAACTTGATTATAATAAATTAATAAGAAGTTGTATTCTCTTAAATGCTAAAGGAAGTAACTATTCATTTACTCACAAATCTATTTAAGAATTTTATGTTGCTAAATATATTTTAGATTTGAGATTTAACAGATTGTTTATGGGAAGTATAATGTAAAGAAAAACCATTTTTATAAAAAGATAAATAAATAAAATTAGTTGAATTCTCTTCAAATGGTAAATTTATTGCTTCAAATGGATAAGACAATTTAGTAATACTTTGGGATTTTGAAAATTATAAAGAACTAGTAGCATTGGATGGCCATTAAGATGAAATATTATCAGTTGCCTTTTCTCATGATTGTAAAACTTTAGCTTCATCAAGTTAAGATAAAACTATAAAGTTATGGGATATTTAAGATCCAAAATAAAAATAATTGATAGTTTCTTTAAATTATCATGACAATCCAGTTACAGGAGTTAAATATGCTTTAGATGGAAAAAAAATAGTTTCAGTTGATAATGCAGGATTTTTGATGCATTGCAATTCTGAAATTATCTCGGAAAAACCAGATGATATTATATTTTAGTATTAAGAAGAAATCTTGGTTTGCGTATTAACTTAGGATGATAAATTGATTGCCTTAGCTTTAGATGACTCCTGTATTAAATTAATTGAATTAAAAACTAAGAATGAAAGAGTGTTAATAGGTCATACTGGAAAAATTGCAGCATTAGCTTTCAGTAAAAGTGGAAATAGATTAGTATCTGCATGTAACAACTTATTATTATCATGGGATTTAAGAGATGATTGTAAATGCTAATTATTGTCTTTTTAAGAATATGAAATCTAATATATAACCATACCAAATGAAAAAAAATTAGTTATTGGAGCAGAAACCTTTTTGGCTTATGGAGAATTTTAGTATGATAATTCTGCTGATTTTAATATTATAGAATAATCCTTTCCTGTTTAGTTATTTCCTAA